ACATCACTCGCCACGTCCAAGCCCCCCCATGTCCGTTCTATGGGCCGAGTCATCAACGGCAACGTCCACGTCGCGAAGGCATAGATCGCATCGTCAATACCCGAGTGCCGAATCGTCGGGCACGGGCATGAGGCAAAGATGGCGTTGCACAAGACGCACGTACGGAATGAGTGTGCTTGCGCAAGATGTGTCGACCTATTACGGCGGGGCCTGTCCAGCACATGTCCTTCCCACCAGGCCTTCTGTGGTCCACACCCGAAGCCAGTGTGCCGGATAAAGGATATTAGGAGCCTCGCACGTGTACTTCCGAGGCGGCGGGCGACGCGTGTGCCGGACTGGCAGAGCTTGAGCGAATCGAGTGTCCGATGTTTGTGTACCTGTGCGCCGGCGATGTCCGCGATTTGACCCATTACTTTCTATACATGTGCTGCTGGCGAGGGTTATTGAGGGAGTTGTAAGATGACATACAGCGTGGAGGACAGTTGCTTGAGTCATCGCACGTTCCTGTAAGAGGTGGAGATCGGAGCGCTGTGTCCACACACGATGGTACTCTGGTCTGAAAGTCGTAGACGATGTTGTATTTCAGACATATTCTTACTCAGAATAATAGATGGGATTCTCAAGGTCTTCTACGTGGCGAGATCAGTGAGACATGCCAGTAACATGTTTTGGCAGAGCGCTACGCCTCTCGATCCGAGGCGGCGCGTGATACGGTGGAGTACGTCTTGGTGAAGCCGCATTGTCTTACTCTCTGCGGTACTCTCGGAGGTTTGTCTATCACAGATCTTGTTCAAATACACGGACAGCGCTCGACGTTTGGTTCTGTACAGGTCGAACATGGTCACATGATGGCAACACAGGTTGAATACGTATATACACCGCGTCTTGGAGATAGGACGAAGTGTTGTTGTAACGTACATATCGTAACCCACGGAAGACTATGAGCGCTAACTGGGAAGTGAGACATACGAGTTCGCAGGAAGGCTTCGGTCGAAGGGTCAACGTACACATGGCATCACGAGGCGTCTCGCGGCGGCCACAGTCAAACCACAACCTCCCGTCGAACTTGCCGCTCACCACCAATCATACAGCTTCTCCCAGCCTCCTATCGCTTCTATCTGAGTGAGAAAGCTCACACGTGCTTGACAAACTACCCTCGAACTCCCTCAAGAAGCCAGGTTTACACTTCGCTCTCTCATCCCACCCACCACGCTGACAATGGCGCCTCCGCCCTTCACTAAGGTCACCTCCACGAACACCGACGACCCGGAGCTTGCACTACCGAATTATACTCTTACTGGCTCCGACTCTACTCCTCAACGTCTCAAACAATCCGGCTTCATGCGCCACCACTCTAGTCACGCCTTCATGCGGGCCAAGCCCCTGTACAAGAGTCTAGCGAAGGAGTTAAGAGGGATGTTTCTTGGACCGATGCCGGTCAAGAAGTTCCTTGATACTTTTCTGCCCTGCAAACAGCAACGTACCTGTCGCAACATCGCCATCAGCGTGAACGGAGCCGACTTCAAGCTCAAGAAGCGTGTCCGTGGCGAGACAGCAGAGGACAAGATTGTAAGTCACTCGTCGGTCTTCGGATTCCTCTCACCTGAGCTGACTTTGCTAGTGTGACGCTATCAATAATTCGAAAATTCTGCACAATCTGCATTTCCAAAACACGTCTGACAGGCCGCTCTCGATGCTCGACTCCCTCCCCGAGAGCGAAAGGGCCGATCGCAAGATCGACATCAGCGCCTTCATCCGCAGAAAGGGAACAGCCACACCCACGCCATCCTTCGAAGCGCTTCGTCTCCCCATCGAACTCAAGCCCCCTGGAGTCGACATTGTCGTAGACCCGGCGGTCGGCAAGTCGTCTGAGCAGCGCAAACAGCACGGCTTCGAGCATCAGACCGCAGACGCGGTTGAAGCCCGCGGCCAACTTGCGTGCTACACTGTGCATCAATTCCAACACCAGGATTGTATCCGCACCTTTTCCGTTCTGATCTTCGGGATGAAAGCACGCCTCCTGCACACCGATCACAGTGGCATCATTGTCACCGAAGCCTTCGACTACACTGGCGGCGACCTCTTTACTGACTTCCTGTGGAGGCTTGACCGCGCTCTCGATGGCAATGGTACGAGCGAGGCGGGTGTCGATACCTCGGTTACAGCCCTCGCGCATGAAGACGACGTCGTGTCGAAGGCGCGTCAGGCATTCGCAAAGGCGAAGGATGAGTTGCCCTATGTGGTTACGCCTGAGATGCCGCTGCGAAAAATCATTGTATGGGACGAATACGCCTGTTCCCCAGGCAACGAGCCGCCGACGCGCGAGCTGATCGTGCCGCCAGCCGTGGAGCACTCGTTCTCACCACTTGGGCGTTATACCCTGACTTTTCCCGCATACGACGCGGCGACCGATTCCGTGTGCTGGATGAAGGACGCTTGGAGGCTTGACGAGGATGGTTTTGAGAAGGAGGGCGACACGTATGCCAAGCTTGCGAAGCTGGAGAATATCGAAGGGTTGATACCCGAGGTCCTGTGTGCGGGGGATGTTCGCAATTCGGACGGCACGCGTCAAGCCACGGCGACACAAGATCATGTCGGTGCCGACTGGGCCTCAAAGAGTCAAAATATTCATCGCTACGTGCATTATCGCATCGTCTTCAAGACCATTGGCCGTCCCTTGACAACGTTCAAGAATACCAAGGAGCTCGTTCAGGTGATGGCAGATGCGCTGCGAGGTGTGCATAGCTTACACATTATTATGGCCATTTACTGAAGCATGCATGCAGCGCACAGCATCGCTTTCAACAATGGCACAATACTGCACAGGGACATCAGGTTAACCTCTCTGATCCATTTCGTATCCATTATCATATGTGCTGATGCCTTACCAGTATCAATAATATCCTCATCAAGAATGGACGTGGGTTGCTGATCGATTGGGATATGTGCAAGTATGTGGACAAGCCAGAGGCTCGGGTTCCATGGAGGACAGTGAGTAGCTGATTCCCTTTATCGCCGCGACATGATCCTGATGCACGTCACAGGGGACTTGGCAATTCATCGCCGCTCAGCTTCTGGCCGACCCCAGGAGTACCACGCACAAATTACACCACGACTTGGAATCGTTCCTGTGGCTTCTGCTGTATATAGTACGTTCGCAAAACACTACCCAGAGAAGCAGCGAATATTGAACTTGCTGCAGACACTACGTTATTGCTACCGCATCCCGCATCTGACGGCGCTCGTTGACGACGATCTGGGTCCCACGCCGCCGAAACTTGATTTGCCGTCCCCCACAAAGTCGAACAGGCACACCGCAAAACTGCTAGTGCCCGAGCCACAGGTCGAGGTGGATCACATGAGCTGGCCTGAGGTTCAAGAATATGTCCATCGCCTGTTCGATAACAAGCAAGAGGAAGGCAATTCGACGCCTCGTGGTGGGGAGGAGAAGATGGACTTTTTGGTCGTACATCGCACACATCCCACGAACGACCAGATCGCTCGCTCCGTCGACACCTGCTCCGAGCATATACCTGCGCCGCTCGCGAAACTCATCGGCAATCTTCGTGCGATCTTTTCACCTCTCTATCGCCAAAAAGCTCCCCATGTCGTCAGGGACTTTCTGAACGAATACTTGTCAAACTCAAGATATATCGAGCACTATTTTCGGGAAGCACTTGGATCAGGAGGCTGGCGAGATGATGATGCAGGGCATGACCACTTCGTCTTCGAACAACGCGAACAACGTTTGAGGAAGCGCGGGCGCGATGATGCGGGTCAAACCGAGGGTGATGAAGATGGCGATGAGCATGCGGACCCCGCGGGACTAACGACACTGGCTGGCCCGGTGAACTTCCTTACTAGTAAGAGGCAGAGGCTGGAGTCCGGTGATGAGTTCCTCATGCCCGCGCGCACTGTATCGGCACCCGGTTATCTCTAGAAATTGCTTGTCATGTTGTCTTTACTAGCAGCTTTTTGTACATCGTATTCACAGGGATTTAATGACGCTTTTTGAACGCACTTATGAGAATGTGATGGGACCTGGGCGGCGCGCGACCACCGCTGTTTATTGACTGCTTGGCTCGAACCGCCATTGTCTTGGGTGTAAACCAATCTGGTCACTGGTGCCACAACTCTGACTTCTCTCTCACTCATAACTTCTTGCTATGCTAACCAGCATGCAAAGGATTATGAATAGCTCATAAGTGCCCTTCCCGCTCGACCCCTGGCTGCTCCCCATAAACCCAACTCGGGCTCGTCCTCACGCCCCATCATCCGTACTCACCATCCTTCCTTTCTCGATTCGCCTCGCTTGAGATACTGCTCGAGATGTATGTACCTTGTACCATATGCTTCTCTGGCATGGACATTACGGTTTCAACTTCACACCGGACCCGATACGACCTATCACACAGACGACCAGACATCCGCATGTTGTCGCTTCTCACATGCCCAAGAATCTCGCTCTACTATATGCATTTGCTTTGTATACCTCAGAGCTGTATACCTCGGCATCACACTCTACTGTATACCTCCGCCTAGTATACCCTAGCGTTGTATAGCCCAGCTCCTCACACTCCGACACACGGCGTGCGCCACGGGACGCGGACTTGTTGAGTTGACGCGCATACTTCGGAATGGCTCGCACAACGGCCTATTGGCAAGCCACGATCCTATTGTATTCAGCCCAGCCCTTACCCAGCTATATCATGTTGTCGGGGATGTTTGCTGCTCGAAGGACCACTTGGTAGCTCCGAAAGCTGCGTCCTGTCAACATTCTTTGAGAGAGACGGCGTTCATATAGAGAATTGCTTTCTGGGCTTGATACCCCGAATAGAGCCTACACCATTCTGGTTCTCACTACTCCACGAGGGAGACCGGACTTCCCGCGTCTGCTATCTGCTGCCGACAGAGCGGTTCTCGACGCGATAAGAAGCATTCATCTGGCGATAGACCAAACAGCCTCTGACCTGCGCAAAGTGGTGTACTGTCAAGGAGAGCAGAGTCTGTTCGCCAGTGCACTCATCGATACGGAGAACGTGTACGTCGAACCGAGGAGAGGGTGCTTCCGAACGCGAACATCGACACAAAGCGCAAGGTCGATCTCATTCACTAGAGACGGCAAGGCATGCAGAAGGCTGGTTAGGTTGACAGGTTGAGGTTGAGGCAGGGCTAGCAATGAAGGTCACTGTCAACACACAAGCAGGAGCTGCAACCTAGTACTGAGACGATGCAGAATCTCAAAGGGCACCTGGAATGGCTAGGCAAGAAGTCCTTCGAAACATGTGATGACGGCGTACCGACATATTTGCCTTCACTAAGGGATGTACGCATTCAGACGACGCATGCGATACACCTGGGCGGCCAAACAACATCACAGGCTCCGCAACGGATTCATTGCTCAGTCACGCATGTAACATGGGCTCCGAGACTGCGACACCACTGTGAGTGAAGCAAAGTAGACGAGCCCGGCGACCAGTAGTGGAGTACTTCCATTGACGCGTTGACAAGGACTTCAACGGGCTGTCCTGTGCCTCGGAGAGCACGCCACCACTCAAGAGGACGGTGTCGCAGCTCTATAAGTTCTGAAAGTCTTCAATACTCCTCGGCTTCCATGATCAATCCGTTATTGAGGACATTGCTCCGGTACTTGCTGTGAAATACGGGCGACAGCAAGTCGGGCAAGAACGGTATACCAGCTGCACGTGGACTGATCGCCTGCCAATCCCTGGACTTGGACTTTCCGTTGGCATCCCGGCACCAGGTGCGAAGGTGGTACTAAGCTCGCTTACTGGTCCAAAGACTCGTGGATGGTCGGCCGCTCGAAAAGGACGGTTGTGTCTAAGGGGGACAATTCGAGGCGGCCGTTTTGCCGATGTGAAATGCGCGATTTGCTAGGTCAATGGACTGGGATCCGAAGGCGAACGAAGATTGCCAGGCATTGATGTAGGACGTGGCGGGCTTGTGTCAGGCGATGCTCGCGACCATTGGCGCGATGCGTGGCGGTCAGCCGACACCCGCACCCGCGCTAATCATGTCATTGTCGAGTACGCTCCTCGACGTGCTGACCCGGCTCAATGTCGACCAGGTTACGAGCGCGACGGGGATGCTGGAACATACAGTCAGCGAGCACATCATCGAGATGGAAGACGACGCATCGTTAGCGTGGGTATGAAGAAGGAATGCAGTGGCCGTGGTGGCAGCGGGGATCCTGTCGCAGCGCAAGTCTAACGGCACGCCCGAGCCCTCGAAGAATAGGAGCGGGTCCTTCTTTGGGTCTCCTAAGCACATATGTATGAAGATATACATGTAGTATCATGACGCCTGTTCAGTGGTATACCCGTATCGTTGCCGATGTACCATTGATCAGAACGAACTGGGGAGCGATATCATGATGACGTGTCACTGAAATCCGTAAGAGTAGTTTTAGGTGTACAATGATACATGTTCGAACAACAATGAGGGACGACCAGAGCGTACTCATCAGGAGGTGACTATGCCGTACATGACAGGGTACAGATCGCAAGTCGGAAAAGAAAAGGGAAGGGAAAAGTGGAAAGGAAAGGAAGGGACAGAGAATAACCCAAACCGCAGCGGCGATATCCTGGCAATCAATAGAGTGAAGTGCGTCCGTCGAGCGCATCACAACAGAGCGCGATGGCAAACCGGCGACGCGCCCGCCTACGGGCGCACCCTCACTGGTAGTTGGTACAGTCACGCGCTGAATAACGAGGAGCCACAGCTATTGAGCAAGCCATGTACCGGGCGACCTGCGTGGCCGTGTAACGCGACGCCATAT